GGAACCACAACACAGAGGAACCCCAACACAGAGGAACCACAACACAGAGGAACCCCAACACAGAGGAACCCCAACACAGAGGAAGCCCAACACAGAGGAACCCCACCACAGAGGAACCCCACCACAGAGGAACCCCAACACAGAGGAACCCCAACACAGAGGAAGCCCAACACAGAGGAAGCCCAACACAGAGGAAGCCCAACACAGAGGAAGCCCGACACAGAGGAAGCCCAACACAGAGGAACCCCAACACAGAGGAACCCCAACACAGAGGAAGCCCGACACAGAGGGGAACCCCAACACAGAGGAACCCCAACACAGAGGAAGCCCAACACAGAGGAAGCCCAACACAGAGGAAGCCCGACACAGAGGAAGCCCGACACAGAGGAAGCCCAACACAGCAGAGGAACCCCAACACAGCAGAGGAACCCCAACACAGAGGAAGCACAACACAGAGGAACCCCAACACAGAGGAACCACAACACAGAGGAGCCCCAACACAGAGGAACCCCAACACAGAGGAACCCCAACACAGAGGAACCCCAACACAGAGGAACCCCAACACAGAGGAACCCCAACACAGAGGAACCACAACACAGAGGAACCACAACACAGAGGAACCACAACATAGAGGAACCCCAACACAGAGGAACCCCAACACAGAGGAACCACAACACAGAGGAACCCCAACACAGAGGAACCCCAACACAGAGGAACCCCAACACAGAGGAACCCCAACACAGAGGAACCCCAACACAGAGGAACCACAACACAGAGGAACCACAACATAGAGGAACCCCAACACAGAGGAACCACAACACAGAGGAACCACAACACAGAGGAACCACAACACAGAGGAACCACAACACAGAGGAACCCCAACACAGAGGAACCCCAACACAGAGGAACCCCAACACAGAGGAACCCCAACACAGAGGAACCCCAACACAGAGGAACCACAACACAGAGGAACCACAACACAGAGGAACCACAACATAGAGGAACCCCAACACAGAGGAACCACAACACAGAGGAACCACAACATAGAGGAACCCCAACACAGAGGAACCCCAACACAGAGGAACCCCAACACAGAGGAACCACAACACAGAGGAACCACAACATAGAGGAACCCCAACACAGAGGAACCCCAACACAGAGGAACCCCAACACAGAGGAACCACAACACAGAGGAACCCCAACACAGAGGAACCACAACACAGAGGAACCCCAACACAGAGGAACCCCAACACAGAGGAACCCCAACACAGAGGAACCCCAACACAGAGGAACCACAACACAGAGGAACCCCAACACAGAGGAACCACAACACAGAGGAACCCCAACACAGAGGAACCCCAACACTCACCCGTTCTGCGGCCCGCCGTCATTGCTGACCCCCAGCCGCGCGAGCTGCCTCCTCAGGTGCAGATTAAACCTGGCGTTGATCCGTAGGAACAGCATCTGCACACAAACAGACGGTAAACACCCGCGTCTGCAGTGTGACGGCTCAAACACTCGCGCCGCGCCTCACCTGCGTCTGCTCCTCCGGCAAGAGCTCATGAATGGCCTCGTGCATCTTGGCCATCTGTTTACACACGTTACGCAAACACGCCGACGGCATGGGCGCCTTCACCTCGTACTGCAGAGGAAACACACGGGTCAGCTGATAAACACACTCACGTCCAGAGCTGCGGACAGTTACTTTCACAAGTAATGCATTACAATATTGCGTCACTCCCAAAAAATTAACTAATTGCGTTACTTTTTATGAATAGTAATGCGTTACATTACTTGTGCGTTACTTTTTCTCACCTGGGCTGAGCTTGCTTGTTTGTTTTTTAATAACAACAACAAAAAAGTTATATTTTTGGCAAATGTTAAGGTCCTTTCACACCGAAAGTGAAATGAATAAGCGTCAGGGTGAAGGAGAAGTAGTGCGTTACTTTACTAGTTACTTGAAAGCGTAATTGATTACATAACTCAAGTTACTTGTAATGAGTTTCCCCGACACGGCTGATATCACTCACTTTAGACAGAGCCTTCTCGAACATGCTGTCCATGATGGCCACTAGTTTGGCAGAGATCTCTGCGATGTGGTCGTTATAGTCCTGAAGAGAGAGTGAAAGCAGCTGTTAGCATCACACGCTAGCGAGTGCGGTGGGTGTGTGTGGGTGTGTGTGTGTGTGTGTACCTTGGTGATGTGGTCGAAGTGGCGCAGTATGCTGTACTGTTTGGGCTGCAGTCTGGTCTCGAAGTGCGCTCGGATCACAGGGATGTAGAGAACCACCAGCTGAAGACAGCGAGACGCCAGAGCTGAGGACACACACGGACATGACTTTGTGTGAATGGCTGGAAATCTTTTGCTTTAAGTCCACAGATATCAGCAGGTACATGTGCAGTTTTTAAAATCAAACTGACTTGAAAATCAAACTGACTTTAAGACCTTTTTTAAGACCTGCAGAAGTAAAATTAATACAGTTTGTCCATCAGAATACAAATATCATTCCCTCCTCATTACAGCTGAGCCATGAGAGTGTGTGTTTGTGTGTAGTGTGTGTGTTCAGTGTGTGTGTGTGTGTTCAGTGTGTGTGTTCAGTGTGTAGTGCGTGTTCAGTGGTCAGTGTGTGTGTGTTCAGTGTGTAGCGTGTGTGTTCGGTGTGTAGCGTGTGTGTGTTCAGTGTGTAGCGTGTGTGTTCGGTGTGTAGCGTGTGTGTGTAGTGTGTGTGTTCAGTGTGTAGTGTGTGTGTGTGTGTGTTCAGTGTGTAGTGTGTGTGTGTGTGTGTTCAGTGTGTAGTGTGTGTGTGTTCAGTGTGTAGTGTGTAGTGTGTGCGTGTAGTGTGTTCAGTGTGTGTTCAGTGTGTGTGTGTGTGTAGTGTGTGTGTTCAGATGAAGCACTGCTGCGTGAGAGGTTACCCAGGTTTCTGGTGGTGATGGTCTTCAGCCCCACGACCTGTAGCGCTCCGGCCCCGAGCACCAGCTGGCAGCTCCGCGAGTTGAAGTGCTGTCGCCACGGAAACAAAACACAACCTGTCAGTCAAGTGATGTCACACTGCAGTCAGAAGGAAGTGAAGGTCACACACACACACACACACCTTGAGCAGGTCGGTGAGGCGCGTGAGGATGTCAGTGGTGATGGAGGGAATGTCATTTACACACTGGCAATACTCCAGAAACATCCGGATCAGCAGCAGCACCGTCCTATCACAGGCCACAAGGTCAAAGGTTAAAGGTCACGAAGGGAAACTCGCCGCCGGAGAAATGAAGTGCTGGAAACCACTCACCCGACCACAGCGTACTTCTGCCCGTCGACACACAGAAACTCACTGGGCTTCCGGTCCTCCGACGCTGAGGGACACAAAACACACGGGTCAAACGGCAATAATGCACACGCTTTCACCGCTTGTTTTTGTTTCTGCGTCTTCTTCTTCTGTGTTTTGATTTATAATAAAATAATAATATATTAAATAATTTATTCAAACGGAAATCCATACAACTGTGGAAAAATTATCTCTCTGAAAATATATTATACTCAAGAAACCATCCTGAGAAACCACCTATTGTACAGTGAAATAAAACATTCTTTAAAAGAATAATAACTATTAATATTGTAATTCTTAATACAGTAAAAAAATATATATATATATATTTTTTTGGTGAATAATTCATTATTACGGAAATCCATACCAATATGGAGGGAAAAAAAAGTCACAACTCTGAACATACATTTACCAAACTGAAATGTGAATAATAAACTGCAGTGAAGGACGCAGTTAAACCGGAGTCACCCTATTACACTGTCACATAAAAACATCTATTTATTAAACTAATCAATAATGTATTGCAATAGTTTGCGGCGATCTCCTACCCGCGTGTTTGCGTTCAGGCAGACTGATGCGTCCGTCAGCGATGGAGTCCACCAGATCCTGGAACTCCACAGGGACCTCGGCCTGCTTCCAGCGCTCGTTATCCAACAGCAGACTGCACACACACACACACACAGCTCTTCAAACTCCACACTAATACGCCCTCGTTTGAAAACACATCTTTTTCTCACTCTCCAAAGTGGATACGTTTGAAAGCACCATTTTCGCGTTTAGTGTGGCCTGTCAAAACGGAGGTATTTAAAAACAATGATGCAAGTTTAGTCATGTGACTCGTATTGCACCAATAGATGTTCATGTTTATACGGGTATTGTGCTTGTTAAGTGCTTTTCACTATTATACAGCTGCTAAAATATGTGACTTCACACACTCTTCATATCACAGTCCTGCAAAGACGACAGAAAACTCACTCGCATTTGCTGTCCTGATGAAACACGAGAGCAGCTTTAGACCAAACATATAATGATGAGTGAGAGCGACCTGACGCATCACTGAATGAGGAGATATTTTGCTGAATAAAATGATCCTGTCAGAAGAATTGCGTGATAACTTTATTTTTTAATTTTCCGTCTGTATCGTCTCAGTGAGCTTCTGTATTAGATTTTGAATGTAGTGTTTTTTAGAGTTTCTCATCCGCACTGGAACGCCTGAAAACGCCAGTGTGGACGGAGTGTGTTTTTACTGAAATGAAAAAGCCGTTGTCTAGTGTATCCGGATGGATGTAGCCGTAGTCGGAAGCATGGTGTGTTCGGCAGCTGTACCTGAGCTTGGTCTTGCGCTCCTCGTGGAAGCGCTGCACGAAGCGGTTGGCCTGGCTCTGTAGCGCCCCCCTCAGGCTCACGCTGCGCCGGACACACTCCTCCTCAGTGTCCTGGACGAACGACTCCACCGCCTGACTCAAACACACGAACTCCGCCGAGCTCAAGCGCTCCAGAGACCCGTCCTGCAGGAACAGACCAGCAACTCCTCATCCTCATCCTTCCCTCGGGTCAATTTGACCCCAAATTCATTAAAAAAATTAAATAAAATTGAGTGTTCATAAGAGGGGTCCAAGACCCTAGGGCTTTTGTGTCACTTGAACCACAAACACACAAAAAAAAATAATGGATTCGAGGAGTTTTGTGGTTGAAATTTAACAAAGTAACAAATCTTTCGTTCACGGGTCAATTTGACCCACTTAGGAATGAATGAATGCGAGGAATGCATCAGCACACATAGAAAACCTAAAAATGCTCAAACTTTACCAAAAAATTATTTTATAATGTCTACATGTGTATCTGAATGCATATTGAAGAGAAACTGACTTTAGGACCCAGCGGAACAGCTCATTTGCTCCATATAGAGCTATAAGGCCATCTAATAGAGTCATGAAATATCATGTTATATATGTTTTTTTTTTCCACAAGAGGTCGGCAAAGACACCCGATGTAAGATATTTTGAGCTGAATTAAAAGGGTTATGCATGAAATTGTTATTTTGAATTTAAGTTGAAAGAATGTGAGAAATATGCTTAAATTACTAATTATTTATTATATATTGATCAAATCTAGTCATTTAAAAGGAAAATAAAAAATAACAAAAAAGTTGCATTCAAAAATAGAACAAATATTATCAAAATGAGATCAAATAAACGAAGTATAATTTTAGGGCTTCGGGTCAGGAGGACTTCAGTGATGTAAGGCGTGTGACAGCAGTGAGCCCACCGGACCGGTCCGAGTGTGTGCAGAACTGAAGCGTGGCGTGTGTGTTCACCTTGGCTCGGGTCATGAGCACTTTGACGCAGCGGTCGTGACTGACGTCTGACGCCGTGTACAGCAGCTCCTGAACGTTATTGGCCACTCGACCCAACTCCAGATCGGACGGCATGACGTCCTCACTCCTGCCAGAGAAAACACACACATTACTGTTGCGGTCCTGCTTCATGAGGGACAACACACACATTACTCACACACAGGATCTTAAATAGGCCATATACATGAACAGTTCGTATTTCACCCAAAAAATTCTAATTAACATTAAATATTTTTTTAATGCATGAAAAATGTATTTTAGCATGTAAGAATTTTAGCATCGTGACATTGTTTTCTTTATAATTAACATATTTATGCCCAAATTCCCATTACTGTAATGAACAAAAGGATTATCTTTTCATTAAGATCAGGCTGAATTTCAAGTACATTTCGTTACTGTATCACATTGAGAAACACATCCAGAATAATTTGCATTTCAGTAATGAGAATTTGGGCAGATATTTTGTGCTGAATTGTTATGAAAACTATTCAAAAAAAAAAAAAAAATTGGCTTTAATTTCTGTATGCAAAATATTATTTTGAAAAACTATCAAAAATACATTAAACAGTAATATTGTGAAATATTATTACAATTTAAAATAACTGTTTTCTATGTGAATATATTGTTAAAATGTGATTTATTCCTGTGATCAAAGCTGAATTTTCTTCAGTGTCACATGATCCTTCAGAAATCACTCGTATATGATGATTTGATGCTCAAGAAACTTTTATGATTATTATCAGTGTTGAAAACAGTTGTGCTGCTTCATATTTATGAGGACATTTAATGAGTCTTCAATGAATAAAAAGTTCAAAACAACAGTGTTTCTTTAAAATAGGTAAGATGTTTATAATGTTACAGATTTCTGTCACTTTTGATCAATTTAAAGGCCGTGTTTACTCCTGGTATTAAGATGTGTTTTGGTCGATCGGATCACAAGTAGACGAGGGAGACACATTCCCGTTCACACCTGGTGTTTTAATCCGTCTCTTTTGTCCACTTTCAGCCACTTCTGTCCTGATTTCATCGAGGCGAGGGTCTATGGGCGTCTAATGTGTGTTTTTTCAGATCTTTCGATCTAAAGGACTAAATAAGCTCATGTATTTTACATATGAACGCGACCGGAGAGACGGAAACACACGGAGAGCATCAGCTTTAGTTTCTGCTCTGACAGACGCAAGATCAGCCGAACACTGTAAGTGTGTGTTAGAGATCAGGAATATAGAGAGAACCTTGTGCTTGATACGTTTTTCATCTTCATACCAAACTTGAGTCTCCAGCCGATAGTTTAAACCCCGTCTGGCTAGAGCTCTTCATAATGTTACGCATTAGATCAGTAGACGGAGAGAAGACGGTCTTTTGTGGCTGTTTGAACACACTCGACCACATGAGCGTTTACACTACGAAAGCAATCCGGTCGAAGGTGTGGGCTGGGCGATATGGCCAAAAAAAATTATCACGATAATTTTTTTTATATCAGTCGATATCGATAATTATCACGATAAATGTCAAATCTTTATTTCTTTCAAGTTTAAAGGCAGATTTTTGCTCCTCAGTGAAAGTTGTAGAAACCAGAGCGTTAATTGTGGTTTTAAACTACTCTTTATTGTCAGAACATATCATGACAAACACTTGCCAAACAGGTGAACATTTCACAAATCTGAGGTAAAACATCATTTGTCATTTTTCCTTAACAAAATAAATATCTGAATAGAAAAATATATGTCTTAGTTTCTGCATGTGCTAATGGGGGATATTGTTAAGTCTTGAAACAGGTTTGTGTTGCCTGACTTTGATGACACGTATCTTCAGCACAGTTTACAGTGCAGGCTCCAATATTAATATTACATGTTTTATCTCGAAACACATATTTGACAGAGTTAAAAATCTGCATCCTAACTCAACTAATAGTACGATGTTAAATTTATGTTCATTAACAAAAACAGTAACATCTGTTAAAAAAAAAATAACTACCACATTTTTATTTGGTAAAATTTAATATTCTGAGTTTTATTAAAATAAACTATTTGGTCATCCAGCATCATGCATTTAGATCATGATAACCACAGATAAAGCCAGGCATAGCCTATATAGCACCTCACTATCATGGCAAATGAGTTTCGTTCCGCTTTTGGCGCATAAACATTATCGAACATTTATCGAACTCTTGATATCGTTTTATCGAGAAAAATTATATCGCGATAATTATCGTTATCGTTTTATCGCCCAGCCCTATCAACCTCATCTGGAAGTGGTCGAGCTCAAAACGCTTTAGACCCCGTTTACACCTGTATTAACACCTGTCTTTTCACCTGTATTAACACCTGTATTTACACCTGTATTTATAACTGTCTTTACACCTGTATTACACCTGTCTTTACACCTGTATTAACACCTGTATTTACACCTGTATTTATAACTGTCTTTACACCTGTATTTACACCTGTCTTTACACCTGTATTAACACCTGTATTTACACCTGTCTTTACACCTGTCTTTACACCTGTCTTTACACCTGTATTAACACCTGTATTTACACCTGTATTTATAACTGTCTTTACACCTGTATTACACCTGTCTTTACACCTGTATTAACACCTGTATTTATAACTGTCTTTACACCTGTATTTACACCTGTCTTTACACCTGTATTAACACCTGTATTTACACCTGTCTTTACACCTGTATTACACCTGTATTTACACCTGTATTTATAACTGTCTTTACACCTGTATTTATAACTGTCTTTACACCTGTATTTATAACTGTCTTTACACCTGTATTTATAACTGTCTTTACACCTGTATTACACCTGTATTTACACCTGTATTAACACCTGTATTAACACCTGTCTTTACACCTGTATTTACACCTGTATTTACACCTGTATTACACCTGTATTTACACCTGTATTACACCTGTCTTTACACCTGTCTTTACACCTGTATTACACCTGTATTAACACCTGTATTTACACCTGTCTTTACACCTGTATTTACACCTGTATTACACCTGTATTACACCTGTATTAACACCTGTATTTACACCTGTATTACACCTGTATTAACACCTGTATTTACACCTGTCTTTTGAAGGGTTGGGGTCAGAATCCCTTGCCTCTTCAATTTAACTATATGCATATCCTTTTTTATGATTACATTATTACTATAATAAGCACTAATCAAGTTATATAATCATTCCTATACGCAATAAGTGATTCACATATAGTTTTTATTCATACTTTTGTTGAAGGCACATCTTTCATTAATGTTGGTTGACTGCCTATCTTTCATGAATGTCTTATGATGTCTGTGACTAATCTTCTGTGGCCCTGAACGAGAACATTAAATACAGGCTTTTTGTCCGTATGTATACTAATGAGTGTGTTAAACTTAAAGAAAACCCTCATCATATGATCATGTTTCTCTGCTGACCCTATTAACGGACAGGGGTCAATTTCTGTATGATTCTATGATTTGTTTTACTTCTTTCATACATATGTCTCTCAAGAAGTAAAGTAATTGTTATTTCTTCTCTCTGAGGATGGAAGGTTTTATCAGTATGTTGCAGGTCTCATGACACGGGGTGGCTGGTCTCATGACGCTTTTCGATGGGCCCTCCGAGGTCATTACTGGATCTTCGTGACTTGGATGACAGCTATCTTGATTGATGTCAACGTACCCTTCTATCTATGTGTAATTGTTTAGACTTTATGTCTTCTGAGCCAATCAGAAGTGAATGTTTATGTAATGTATGCCCTTGAAAACAGTATAACTGGTGTACTATTTTCATGTAAGGTAGAGTTAGCTTGCGACCTCCTCGTGAGGCTTTGACGCTGGCTCTACCAATTTAACTGCAAACTATTCTTCAGTAAATTTTACTCTTTGATTGAACATCACGACTCCTGGTCTTCTTTCATCATCTCTGGTCCTGGGTCAAGAAACTGTAAACCCCCCCTTTACAGTCCTTTCACTTTACACCTGTCTTTACACCTGTATTTACACCTGTCTTTACACCTAACACCTGTATTAACACCTGTATTTACACCTGTATTAACACCTGTATTAACACCTGTCTTTACACCTAACACCTGTATTTACACCTGTATTTACACCTGTATTTACACCTGTATTTACACCTGTATTAACACCTGTATTAACACCTAACACCTGTATTAACACCTGTATTTACACCTGTATTTACACCTGTATTACACCTGTATTACACCTGTATTACACCTGTCTTAACACCTGTCTTAACACCTAACACCTGTATTAACACCTGTATTTACACCTGTATTACACCTGTATTAACACCTGTCTTTACACCTAACACCTGTATTAACACCTGTATTAACACCTGTATTTACACCTGTATTTACACCTGTATTTACACCTAACACCTGTATTAACACCTGTATTTACACCTGTCTTACACCTGTATTTACACCTAACACCTGTATTAACACCTGTATTTACACCTGTATTAACACCTGTATTAACACCTGTATTACACCTGTATTTACACCTGTCTTTACACCTGTCTTTACACCTAACACCTGTATTAACACCTGTATTTACACCTGTATTTACACCTGTATTTACACCTGTATTTACACCTGTATTACACCATATTAACACCTGTATTTTCACCTGTATTAACACCTGTCTTTACACCTAACACCTGTATTAACACCTGTATTAACACCTGTATTAACACCTGTATTAACACCTGTATTTACACCTGTATTTACACCTGTATTTACACCTGTATTTACACCTGTATTAACACCTAACACCTGTATTAACACCTGTATTTACACCTGTATTTACACCTGTATTACACCTGTCTTTACACCTAACACCTGTATTAACACCTGTATTTACACCTGTATTTACACCTGTATTACACCTGTATTAACACCTGTCTTTACACCTGTATTTACACCTGTCTTACACCTGTATTTACACCTAACACCTGTATTAACACCTGTATTTACACCTGTCTTACACCTGTATTTACACCTAACACCTGTATTAACACCTGTATTTACACCTGTATTAACACCTGTATTTACACCTGTATTTACACCTGTCTTACACCTGTATTTACACCTAACACCTGTATTTACACCTGTATTAACACCTGTATTTACACCTGTATTTACACCTGTCTTACACCTGTATTTACACCTAACACCTGTATTAACACCTGTATTTACACCTGTATTAACACCTGTATTTACACCTGTCTTACACCTGTATTTACACCTAACACCTGTATTAACACCTGTATTTACACCTGTCTTACACCTGTATTTACACCTAACACCTGTATTAACACCTGTATTTACACCTGTATTAACACCTGTATTACACCTGTATTTACACCTGTATTAACACCTGTCTTTACACCTAACACCTGTATTAACACCTGTATTTACACCTGTATTTACACCTGTATTACACCATATTAACACCTGTATTTTCACCTGTATTAACACCTGTCTTTACACCTAACACCTGTATTAACACCTGTATTTACACCTGTATTTACACCTGTATTTACACCTGTATTACACCATATTAACACCTGTCTTAACACCTAACACCTGTATTAACACTAGTGATCGACCGATATATCGGGCCGATATTTGCGGTTTTTACGTGTATCGGAATCGGCCGATACGCGGCTGCTGCGTTCGCCGATAGTTTTTTCCCGGCATTATTTATGGACAGGCGTCCACAGGCAGCTCTGTGCTGCTGGAGACGCTGCAGTTCACGTGCAGACCCTGCACTGTCCCTCCCCCACTAGCAGAGTGCAACCTGCGCTTCAAGATAATGGTAACTTTTAAACTTTCAAAGCATCTTTTAACTGTTTGACTGCTGAAATATTGTCAAACACTTTGAAAATGGAAACACGTTGCTCTATAACTGTTATGTGGTTGCAACTATATAGCTAAGCAAGTTTGTGGGTCCAAATGGAAAACGCGAATGACTCGTCTATAAAACTGCTTGCTTGCCATTGTATTTAGGGAGCTGCAAATAGCTGTAGGCTATCCGTTCAGTATGCATTAGGGCTGTCAATGAATATTCTAAATACGAATATATATTCGAATAGTTTTAAAAAAACTGAATTTTGAAGGTGAAAATGAATATTCGAATGTGGAAAAACACGCCCGCGGTAGCAGACTAACGTTACCACAGCACAGCTCGCTCGGAGCGCTCAGTGTCGGTTCTATGTACTGTGAAACTTAAATTAATGTATTTGTTTCAATCACTGAATGAAGCCTGCTATATACCTTAAATTGCTTGCACAAAACTCTTGATCAGCACTCAACATTTGTTTGTTGTTGTTCATTTAAACCGGTATGCGCGGAGAGCGTGAGGGTGAGTGCGAGAGAGAGAGAGAGTGCGCCTGCGAGTCCGGGCGAGCCAGAGTGAGCTCTGCGGTCTTGGCCATTAGTTGATTTACTCGTTTTTTTTTGTAGTAATACGTTGTCAAATATGTTTAAACTCAAATAAGCTACTTAATACTAGTAGTTATGTCTCTTTGTATTAATTTGTCCTGTTATTGACGTAATGCGCGTCATTGACCAAATGCACGACGATATGTTCAAATATGTTTTTTAGAGGGAATATACAAACGCCATTTGAGCAATTTTGACAGCCCTAGTATGCGTACGGTAGCTGTTACGAACACTGGTCATAGGATTAAGTAATACCAACGTTATTCCATGCTTTTTGTGGGAGATTTATTCAGCGACCACCTGGCTGAGGTTTGGACGCGTGTGGTGTGTGTGTCTCCCTCGCAGTGATATTAGAGACTAGACATGCTCATTTTATTTTATGTAGAAAAATTTAAACCATGGCAGTAAATAGTTCGTTACTTTTAAAATGAAGTACAGTGTGCACTGTGCACTTTATTATGCTGGTTGCTACTGTGTGCAATAGTGTAATTATTTTATTTATGCTTAAATATTTATTTTCAGCAGTGAACTTTTTTTTGTTCTACCTCATGTTTTTAATATTTGTTAAATATTGTTTATCTACTTGTTCTTGTTCTACCTCACATATTTTTACTGTTTGTTAAATATTGATTTTTTTACGTTAAATAAATGTTACTTTTATTAAATTGAGACCTGTAACATTTGTTAACATCATGTCATTTTTATGATGTAAATTGAGGGAGCAAAATGTATCGGCTCCAAATATCGGCTCAAGAAAATCGGCAGCCCGTATCGGCCATCGGCTAAGGCTGATGGGAAAAAGATCGGTATCGGCACTAAAAAATCCATATCGGTCAATCCCTAATTAACACCTGTCTTACACCTGTATTTACACCTGTATTACACCTGTCTTTACACCTGTATTTACACCTGTATTACACCTGTCTTTACACCTGTATTAACACCTGTATTACACCTGTCTTTACACCTGTATTAACACCTGTATTACACCTGTCTTTACACCTGTATTTACACCTGTATTAACACCTGTCTTTACACCTGTCTTTACACCTGTATTTACACCTAACACCTGTATTAACACCTGTATTACACCTGTATTAACACCTGTATTTACACCTAACACCTGTATTAACACCTGTATTAACACCTGTATTAACACCTGTATTAACACCTGTATTTACACCTGTATTACACCTGTCTTACACCTGTATTAACACCTGTATTAACACCTGTATTAACACCTGTATTACACCTGTATTAACACCTGTATTAACACCTGTATTAACACCTGTATTACACCTGTATTAACACCTGTATTAACACCTGTATTAACACCTGTATTAACACCTGTATTTTCACCTGTATTAACACCTGTATTAACACCTGTATTAACACCTGTATTTTCACCTGTATTAACACCTGTATTAACACCTGTATTAACACCTGTATTACACCTGTATTAACACCTGTATTAACACCTGTATTAACACCTGTATTACACCTGTATTAACACCTGTATTAACACCTGTATTAACACCTGTATTTTCACCTGTATTAACACCTGTATTAACACCTGTATTAACACCTGTATTAACACCTGTATTTTCACCTGTATTTTCACCTGTATTAACACCTGTATTAACACCTGTATTAACACCTGTATTAACACCTGTATTTACACCTGTATTAACACCTGTATTTACACCTGTATTAACACCTGTATTTACACCTGTATTAACACCTGTATTAACACCTGTATTAACACCTGTATTTACACCTGTATTCCACTTGTGATCCAATCGACCAAAACGCATCTTAATACCAGCAGTAAACAGGGCCAATGTGTCCTTGCTGAATAAAAGTATTAAGTATCAAAGATCTTATTGACCCACAACTCTTGGTAGTGTAAATGAGACATCAGACAGTGTGAACAGGGAGTTGAGCGACTCACAGAGCAGCAGCGCCCCCGGCGGGCAGGGAGGAGGTAGTGTTGTAGTTGTGCTCCCTGCTGGAGGAGGATTCGGTGGTGGCGGAGGCCGAGTCGCTCCCGCAGGCCTCAGTGCGCGTCTGTGCTCTCGCCTGCGCTTCGTTCAGCGCGTCGCTGATGAAGAGCCCCTCGTGAGTGAGATACGCAAGCTCCGCCTCCCCGGCGTGATGAGCTCCCGAATCCTCCTCGTCCTCCTGGGAATGATCAGCTGCGGGAGGGACGTCTGCTATCCGACTCCTCTGGCTGCTGTCCAGCACCTCCAGCACCACGTTACGGATGACGCTGAGCGTAGCCTGAAACAAACACGCGTGAGGTTGCATTGCAGAGGACGAGTGCGTTACTGAGCTTTACGTTTGACTGGGAAATGGAGGATACAGTTCAAGTTCGGCCTCCAGTATCTACATGTTTTAAAGGGGTGGTTGATCATGATTTAACTCTTCTAACTTTAGTTAGTGTGTAATGTTGCTGTTTGAGCATAAACCACATCTGCAAAGTTACAACGCTTAAAGTTCAAAGCAAAGGGAGATATTTGCTTTTAAAGAAATCACTTTTTAAGGACTACAACGAATGGCTGGTAGGAACTACACGAGCTTCCTCCCAGAATAGTGACATCACCAACCCTAAAATTTACATAAACCCGCCCCCAGGAACATTATCATGAGAGAATATGCTAATTTTGAGCTAAAACTTCACAACTTATTTTGCATCTTGTAAAAAGGGCATTATAGGACCCCTTTAAAATGTATTATTACCGCTGTTGCTTTTAACTAAAACTACTGGTTAACATGAACTGATCCTGCAAGGCCTAGTTGACGTCTGCCAAAAAGAGGAGTGGAACTAGTACATTCTGATGAAATTATGAATAATTATTATGTCTTCTATGCGAGATCATGTCCAGACGATGGTTTATGACACGTATTGTCAGGGTTTTCACTGCAGTTGTTGAGCTGATTTACCTTGATCCTCTTGAGGAACAGGATGAAGTGTTCAAATATATCCAGCAGCAGATCAAACCACTGATGAAACGTCATCAAGCGCATCTGTTCATGAAATCTGCATCACACACACACACACACACACACACACACAGTCAGCTGTGATAAACAGTGCTGTGATGTGATATACTGAGGGGATGTGAACTCACTTGACAGTGTCTGCATCAATCTCACTGATCTGCGACACAGACTTGCCAACACACTGCAGGGAAAGACAGAAATCATTCAAAGAAACATTCACTTTTGTTTTAAAGTGCCCCTATCATGCCATTTTAAAGGCTTCTAATTTTGTTTTTGTTCTCATACAGGTTTACATGCAATCAGTCTGTTGTGATTGGTCTACTCTGCTCTGATTGGTCAGATGACCCAGTCTGTTGTGATTGGTCTACTCTGCTCTGATTGGTCAGATGACCCAGTCTGTTGTGATTGGTCTACTCTGCTCTGATTGGTCAGATGGCCCAGTCTGTTGTGATTGGTCTACTCTGCTCTGATTGGTCAGATGACCCAGTCTGTTGTGATTGGTCTACTCTGCTCTGATTGGTCAGATGACCCAGTCTGTTGTGATTGGTCTACTCTGCTCTGATTGGTCAGATGACCCAGACTGTTGTGATTGGTCTACTCTGCTCTGATTGGTCAGATGGCCCAGTCTGTTGTGATTGGTCTACTCTGCTCTGATTGGTCAGATGACCCAGTCTGTTGTGATTGGTCTACTCTGCTCTGATTGGTCAGATGACCCAGTCTGTTGTGATTGGTCTACTCTGCTCTGATTGGTCAGATGACCCAGTCTGTTGTGATTGGTCTACTCTGCTCTGATTGGTCAGATGACCCAGACTGTTGTGATTGGTCTACTCTGCTCTGATTGGTCAGATGGCCCAGTCTGTTGTGATTGGTCTACTCTGCTCTGATTGGTCAGATGACCCAGTCTGTTGTGATTGGTCTACTCTGCTCTGATTGGTCAGATGACCCAGTCTGTTGTGATTGGTCTACTCTGCTCTGATTGGTCAGATGACCCAGACTGTTGTGATTGGTCTACTCTGCTCTGATTGGTCAGATGACCCAGTCTGTTGTGATTGGTCTACTCTGCTCTGATTGGTCAGATGACCCAGTCTGTTGTGATTGGTCTACTCTGCTCTGATTGGTCAGATGACCCAGTCTGTTGTGATTGGTCTACTCTGCTCTGATTGGTCAGATGGCCCAGTCTGTTGTGATTGGTCTACTCTGCCCTGATTGGTCAGATGGCCCAGTCTGTTGTGATTGGTCTACTCTGCTCTGATTGGTCAGATGGCCCAGTCTGTTGTGATTGGTCTACTCTGCCCTGATTGGTCAGATGGCCCAGTCTGTTGTGATTGGTCTACTCTGCCCTGATTGGTCAGATGGCCCAGTCTGTTGTGATTGGTCTACTCTGCTCTGATTGGTCAGATGACCCAGTCTGTTGTGATTGGTCTACTCTGCTCTGATTGGTCAGATGGCCCAGTCTGTTGTGATTGGTCTACTCTGCCCTGATTGGTCAGATGGCCCAGTCTGTTGTGATTGGTCTACTCTGCTCTGATTGGTCAGATGACCCAGTCGGTTGTGATTGGTCTACTCTGCTCTGATTGGTCAGATGACCCAGTCGGTTGTGATTGGTCTACTCTGCTCTGATTGGTCAGATGGTCCAGTCTGTTGTGATTGGTCTACTCTGCCCTGATTGGTCAGATGGCCCAGTCTGTTGTGATTGGTCTACTCTGCCCTGATTGGTCAGATGGCCCAGTCTGTTGTGATTGGTCTACTCTGCTCTGATTGGTCAGATGACCCAGTCGGTTGTGATTGGTCTACTCTGCTCTGATTGGTCAGATGACCCAGTCTGTAGTGTTCCCGTCCCTGTGCCTCACCTGTCGTACAACGTTCTTGGCAGCGCGGATCATCTCGTCACTGTAAATGTCCAGGAAATCCAGCTTCCTCTGTCTCAACAGGCCAAAGACCAGAGACTGCAAACGATCCTGTAATAAACACACACAAACTCAGATGTGGAACCACAACACAAGCCAATCAAAACACCACTGATTATACATGCTGCTGAGATTTTCCTGATTTGATTTCCAATTAAAAACAAATCAGACGTCATCATCTCTGCTTTGTTCTTTCATTATTGAAATTAAATGCAATCAGCGGTTTGGTTGACTCGTCGGCGTGGGATTTAGAGCGACATAACCAACCTTTCCTGACGCTGCCGGCTGCTCTGTGACCTGTGTGAGAAAATCCCACACTGTAAACCTCAAACCAACCCTGACCCACATCCAACACAAGCATGACCTGATTGACGGAGCACAGTCATGTGACCTGGTTCACTGGGCTGCCCTTATTTCACACGTGGAAACTGGAAACCACTGCTGTGGTCTGCTTGTGGGAACGTGACAATGCCACAACAATGACATTTACTGGAGAGTTCAGTTTCGCATTTGAAATGACATAATTTGTGAAACAATTCTGCACCAATCCCAACATGCCTGGGTTTTCTTATGACAAAAAAAAGACTTTCAAGTGATTGAAAGAATCACTTATTTTTTTACACTACTGTTCAAAAGTTTGAGGTCAGTAAGATATTTTTTTTTTTAAAGTTAATACTTATATTCAGCGAGAATGCATTAAATTAATCAAAAGTGCCAGTTAAGATAAAATTTTACAAAAGATTGTTTATAAACACTGTTCTTCTGAACCTTCAATTCATCAAAGATCCTGAAGTTTTCAGAAAATACGAAGCAGCAGCACAACTATTTTCAACATTGTTAATAATCATAAGTGTTTCTTGAGCATCAAGTCATCATATTAGAGTGATTTCTGAAGGATCATGCGACACTGAAGACTGGAGTAACGATTACATCTTTATATTCAAACAGTAATTCACAATATTACGGTTTTTACTGTATTTTTCAAATGAATGCAGCCTGATTACTTAAATAATTGTATATACAGAAGATGAACAGTTTGAAGTTGCAGTTTATTGTCAATAAATGTGTTTTTTTTAACTCGAGAGGAAGTTTTGTGGTTTGAGAGATAAGGTAAGTTGCCATAGCACAATGGCCTCTGTTATTTCAGGAAATAAAGCAACATTTGATTCCCCATGAAATGTGAAAGAGGTCTGACCTTCTCCATGACCTGAATGTCCTCTTCAAAGGGCCGATTGAGGTCGCTTTGAGCGTATGTGGAGAAATCAGCCACCATCATCTTATCGATCAACCGCTCCATCTCACAGAGCTGAGAACCCAAATGTCTGCGGAAAGAGACACAAATAACAGGACATACAGTCAAACCAAGAATTATTCAAACATCAGATATCATTTTTGATATTTTTTTACTAGTGTGTGCAGGACACTATAGTTCATTTAAGTAAGTGAGGAGAGCGAAATAAAGTAAACTGTGACATATTATGCCCAAAAATTCTTTATCAGTGACTACCAGTAACATTTATACAAATTTGGGACAAAAAAATGATGCAGACTTTGAGCTGTCCGTGTTTTACTGAAGTGTTTTTTTCTTTAATTGCTAATGCTCTTTTTACACACAGACTGAACAACATGAAGTCATTGTTTGAGCTAAACTGGTATTATCTAATTATGTAGTTAGTTTAACAGCTGACAGATATTCAACATAATTCATATATGAGACAGTCTAACAGAAGGACGGACAAAACCAGAGAAATATCAACTGATCTGATAACTCTTCTGATAACATTTTCTAGCGAATTAACTATGATAATGTGAGAAATGTTGAATAAATTGACTGTAAATAGCAACATCTAAACATCCTGATTTGTCAGGCCACTCTCCTCTGTTTCTTGTCAGCATGTTTCCTAGTAAACGTGTGTGTGTGTGTGCACCTGAAGCTGTGTATTCCCTGCAGTTCCTGCTGCAGAACTTCCTTGGTGGTTGCGATGAGCTCGAGCGCCCCGACGAACTCTGACGTGGAGAGGAGTAGCTGCACCGTGGGCTGCGTCTGGTGCACGGCGGCCATCAGCTTCAGCTTATTGTGCAGTTTGGCGCAGTTGTTGCGTGTGAGAGCGTCGCGCAGCGCTCGCAGCGGCCCACGGCACATCACGCGGTCGATGGCGGAGGTGCGAGCGCGGAGCTGAGCCACGGAGTCGGCCGTCTCTCGCAGCCGGTCCTGGAGCTCGTGCTGAGACGACATGGCGTGGAAAAAGGCCTCGGAGCGAAGAGAGATCTGCCGAGCGATGCTCACCTCCACCACGTCCAGATAGTGACTCAACTGCAGACACACACACACACACACACACAGTCAGCGCATTAATCCCTGGGTTCACAGACCAGGCTTAAGCTAGTCCCAGACTAAAATGCAGGTTTGAGCTGTTTTAACTGAAAGCCACTTGCACTGAGATATCTTAAAGCTTGTCTTAAGATGCACAACAGTAATGTATTTAAAGGCATGTTTATAAAAGCTGCTTAAATGCCCTAATTGAACTATAAGGCCTAATCCTGGCTTAATCTTAGCCCTGTCTGTGAAACTGGGCCTTGGAGATGTTCTGCCTTACTTCATATGTATATTTGCTCTATTGTTTTTATTTGCTTAATTGTTCATGCTGTTTATTTAATTATTTTACTGTTTACTAGTCTTAAATATTCAGGTTTACTTGGAAATAATAGAAGAAATATTTACTTAAGCAATACCCAAATTGTTAATATTTATATAAAAATTTTACATTTTAAATGAATGTAAATGAGCATTAAATAAAAATGTCCTGGTATTGGTAGCAAGTTAATATTAATTAAAATTAAATTAAAACCTTAAAAACTTAAAATAAATATTTACTTAATGTAAATTAGTATTTTGGCTTTAGATGTGGTAAAAAAAATTGGTACGGAGAAATGTATTTATATTTATTGGTAGCAGGGTTATTATAATTAACTAGAACTAAAACCATAAAAAAAACATTTTTACGTGAAATAAATGGTAAGTGAAATAAAATATTTTTTAAACTAAAAATATATATATGGACATATTTATAAAAAGTAAAAAAAAATCAATAACTAATAAAAAAAAAATATATAAAAAAAGACACAACAAAACAAAAAAAATACTCAAATTAAAATGGAAAATCCCAAAAAATACAAAAATAAATGAAAATACAAAACTATAATAGTATCTAATGCTGATTGGTTCTGCTGATAATGACAGACAGGCACCTTTTCCTGCAGTAACCGTGACGACGCAACATCTCGGCTGTTCTTGCCCCCGGCGACGCTGAAGTGAGACCACGGCAACACGGCATTAAAGGTGGCCGGATCGTTCAGCACAAACTCAGGCTTCATGAAGATCTAAGAGAGAGAGAGTGTGTGAGAGCGAGAGAGAGAGAGAGAGAGAGAGAGAAAGAGTTTGCCTTTTTAAAACCGTGGCCTCGGATTGAGGACAATTTCCCATTCAATTTCTCCAGTGGCATTTCAAAAAAACTCTCCCAGTAAAGATGAACAACAACATTTCAAACTTGGATTTAAGACACTAAAATAAAGGACAAGGTAATGTGCACTTAAAATCTCAGAAGCCTCATTGTGGATGTCATAATACTGGAATAACTGTGAAATATTAATACAATTTAAAACAGCCGTTTTCTATGTGAATATATTGTAAAATGTAATTTGTTCCTGTGATCAAAGCTGAATGTTCAGCATCATTCCTCCAGTCTTCAGTGTCACATGATCCTTCAGAAATCACTCTAATATGAGGATTTGATGCTCTAGAAACATTTATGACTATTTTCAGTGTTGAACACAGTCGTGCCGCTTCATATGTGTGTGGAAACCGTGATCATGTTTTCAGGATCACTGCGAGTCTTCAGTCCTCACCTTGGGCACCTGATCCAGCTCAGCTCTGGCTTTATCTGCAACACAAACACACATTAGACTCATTCGAGTTCCTCCCCTGTAACACAGCTCTAATACAGTGTGTGTTTGTCAAGTCACCTTTATTTGGTGGACAGTCGCCTATGTTTTCTGTTGGCTGTTTGTAATGTAACTGACTGTTACTGCTGGTTGCCATGGTAACAGAGTCTTAGACCTAAGTTAGCCTGGGGGTGAGGCGTCTAATTGTTTTGGTCTAAATTAAGTCAGTCTTTATTTTTGTGAAACAGTCTAACTCGCATTAGACTCGTCTATGAGCAACTTTTAGACTTGTCTAACACTATAGACCGGTCTAAAATAGCTTTGTGAAACCGGCCCCATGAGAAAACCGTGTTGTCATCGTCCAGCTCAGTTCAAGATGTTCATGTCTTTCTTTCTTCAGTGGAAAAGAAATTAAGTTTTTTGAGGAAAACATTTGAGGATTTTTCTCCACACAATGGACTTCGAGCGCAACCAACATGTTGAAGTCCAAATCAATGCAGTTTCAAACGGCTCTGCACGTCCCCAGCTGAGGAACAGGGTCTTATCCAGTGAAACCATCGGCCATTTTCTAAAAATAAATAAAAATGTATATACTTTTTAACCACAATTGTTGGTCTTGTGCTGGTCTGCGACGCACCAGGCATTACGTCATCACGCTGGACGTAGGGGGAAGCACCGCCCCATTGTTTTAAATATCCAGGATACACACACGAAAGGACCATTTTAAACAATAAACTGACACAGACATAAATGTCATTCAACATACAATAAAATTTGAACGATCCTCCTTCTCCGCGCTTGTAAACAATGGGGCGGTGCTTCCCCCTACGTCCAGCATGACCTTTCCAGCGTGATGACGTAATGCCTGGTGCGTCGACCAGCACAAGACCAACAACTGTGGTTAAAAAGTATATACATTTTTATTTATTTTTAGAAAATGGCCGATGGTTTCGCTAGATAAGACCCTGTTCCTCAGCTGGGACGTGCAGAGGCTGCATTGATTTGGACTTTAACAATTTGGTTACCGTTGAAGTTCACTGTGTGGAGAAAAATCCTGAAATGTTTTCCTCAAAAAACTTAATTTCTTTTCCACTGAAGAAAGAAAGACATGAACATCTTGGATGGCATTGGGGTGAGTAAATGATCAGGATATTTTCATTTTGAGGTGAACTACTCCTTTAAGTTGAATGTGTGTGTGCTGGTGAGTGACGCGTACCGTGATTATTGGTGATGGTGGGCACCGCCAGATCGTCTTTGCTCTGGCAGACGTTCTTACAGCGCTCGTGAATCTTCTCCCTCTGAGAGACACAAACAAACCGTGAGAGACCTGCGCACCAGAGCTACCTTTCCCAAACACATCTGGTGTTTCCGATCACCGACCCGGCTCACGGCTAAAAACTGAAGATGTTCCTCTGAAGGAAATACCGGTGGAAAACGAGAGTCATTTAACCTTCGGAAAACCACAGAGACAAACAAGCTGCCATCGCCTGGAGCCCGTGAGAGATAAACACCAGGAACACAGACCGAAGAAACATTTCTCTGCTTTAAGAACCTCAAAGTCTATTAATACACCGTGAGATTAACAACGACACACACACACACCTCCAGTCCAAGAGACAGTAGGTTTAGGCATTTTCTCGTCATCTAATAGTCGTTTATTCCATTACTGCTTCATTCAAAATTCCAAAAACGTATTTAATGGTTTTGGTTAAAGTCCCCCTGTGGTGAAAATACAGCTTTTAATGTTGTTTATCTGTCAGTGTGGTGTTTTTAATATGCTTTAAGACAAACCATGTGCAAATTCATAAGTCGACATCAACATAGAGTTACATTCAAGCTATTTTAAGGGATTAAGATTTTTTTTCTCAAGGAAAAAACATTTAAATGTGTCATTTTGGTGATCAAAGATGAGTTTTAAGGGATACAGTGATTGACTCCAGGGGGACTTTAACAATAACAGCACGTATTAGAGCATCATTAGCTGACAGTCACATGATGGGGAGGAGGACAGTTATGTTTTTTTCCTTCTCTCTCTATCTCTCGCTCAATACAATTGATTATTGACATGACTTGTATTGCCAAAGCATTGGCCATTACATAAGCAATGAACAAATAATCAATAAAGTCAATAAATCAATCAGTAAACAAATACATTTATATAAACAAGAAATAACAAGAGAAATAAGATAAAAAAAAATAAAAAACACCTTTGTACATTTGTACCTACATTCAGACAAGACAAGAATATTTCTGACTATAGTAATTTCATCTCTCTCTCTCGCTCTCTCTCACTCACACACACTATTTCTCTGTCTCTCTCTCTCACACACACACTATTTCTCTCTCTCTCTCTCTCTCTCTCTCTCTCTCTCTCTCTCTCACACACTATTTTTCTGTCTCTCTCTCTCACTCACACACACACACACACTATTTCTCTGTCTCTCTCTCTCTCTCACACACACTATCTCTGTCTCTCTCTCTCTCTCTCTCTCACACACACTATCTCTGTCTCTCTCTCTCTTTCTCATTTTCTCTCTGTCTCTCATTTTCTCTCTCTTTCCCTCTTTCCCTCTCTCTCTCTCTCTCTCTCTCTCTCAGTGTCTCTCTCCCTCTCTCCCTCTGAATAATTAAGATGTGTCACCTGAGCCGTCTCCTGCAGGTAGGAGCTGAAGTGTTCTCGGGTGATGTTGGGCAAGTAGAACGAAGGCATGACGTCGGTCTCGGTGAAGTCCAGGCCCCACGTCTTAGTGAAGAAGTCGGACTCTCTCTTGGTCAGCCTGGGGTCGTTCAGGGCCGCGGGGAGGTTCACTTTAGAGTTATACACGGTCCAGCGGTGCTGATCGGCCACCACAGACGGCCCGTCACAGAGCCCACGGCCTTCACCTGCACAGAGGACCACTTCATATTACACTTACACTCTTACAAATAACGGCTCTTTACTGGCATTGGCAGTTTCATGAAGAACATTTAACATCAAAGGTTCTTTAGAATATCAAATTATTAAAATGTTCTTCACACTAAGAAAAATTGGTTCTTTTTTAGAACTGTTCAGTGAAAGGCTCTTCGGGAAACCTTCTATGGCATCACTGCAAAAACAACAACAACATTTATTTCTACTTAAAAAAAAATTCTCATTGTTACTTGCCATTTCTCTGGGAAATTTACAAGCAACTTCTGAGTGAAGATTGTTTCTACATACAGTAATTCAAAGGACCGGAGTCAATTATTCCGCTTATATTGCAGTTTCCACACCTTAAGACATTGTTTAGATGTTGCATTTCAAAGCATTTGTCAGGTTTTTGTTCTTAAAACGCTCTTGTGTGTAAGGCCCATTTCTTACACATCTCATCCCAAGCCTCCGTTGCTAATTCCAAAAACATTATTTTAGAGCTCGTAACAGAGACTTCAGCCACTGATAGCAGTCTAATGCAGTTATTAAAGCAGTTAGAGAGAGAGAGAGAGAGACAGAGAGAGAGAGAGAGACAGAGAGAGAGAGAATTCTTCACAGAATTTTGAAATGTTCATAAACTGTTCTATTTTTTTTTATTTAATTTGGACAATTAATTTAATTTGTACATTTAGATGTTAAAATATTTTACTATTTTGATGTCTTTATAATTATTCTATGTATTCCAAGAGAGAGAGAGAGAGAGAGAGAGAGAGAGAGAGAGAGAGAGAGAGAGAGAGAGAGAGAGAGAGAGAGAGAGAGAGAGAGAGAGAGAGAGAGAGAGAGAGATTAAGCGTGTGTGAATTACCTGAGTCTGTGTGTCTCTCAACAGCGTTCGGCAGCAGCGTCTCTACTAATAGCGAAACTGTAAGTTTATCTGCTTCAAGAACAGCGCCGTTATTATCTACAGTAGCTACTGAGAAATTTAGCTAGTGTAACTTTTAAGTTGTTAAACTATTATACTGATAAAATCATCAGAGCAGAGCTGACAACACACGAGTGTGTGTCCGTACTGTATGTGTGTGTGTTTGAGCGGGAGAAAGATGTGCTTCCCATACATAATAAAAAGCAATTTTGTGTACAAAAAACTTGAAAATAATTTGTCATTTTTATCCTTTGTTTAATATATTTATTTGCTGGGTCAGTGTCGTTGTGGGTTTTGGTGTCGGCTGTAAGGACCTTCGAAATAACTAAAATCTTTGAAATAACTAAAATCATTTGGTGAACGTGATATGAAACTTTAGCCGTGCGTTTCCCTGAAAATACTTGCACACCTTAAAACGTTCGTCAACCTATTAGAATCAAGCATTCAACAGCCCCTGTAGTATAAACAGATAATAAAGTACTAACAGTAAAGATAGCACAAGCACTACCAAAATCCTCATGTCAGGATGGAGGCAGTGTGTGTCAACGTCAACATCTACATACGTCCAAAATTTCATAAAACAACTCCATCCATATCATGTAACGTGGCATTCAAGAGGTCTCACCGGTGGGCTCCTTGGGGCAGACGTCCGGGAGGGAGCGCTGGGTTCGATAGTGTCTGGGGGCCATCGAAGGGTCCCGGGGCTTCCGGAAGAGCCCGTCGCTGGGGCCGGCGCCTCTTCCTCCTCCCCCGCTGGACTGAGGTATCGGATTGGAGGACATCACTACGGATCCCTCACATATGAGGCTGACTGAAAGAAGAACAAGAGAACAGCATCAACATCCTGTCACAGCACAGGAAACACCCGTCCTTTAGGGGAAACCCACGTCTGATTGGTTAAAGCGGTGGAGAAACACAAATAAATAACTATTCAGATTCATTGTATTTAAATGTATAGCCATATCACAGTCTATAACAAGGCAGAAAGATTCAACATTCAACAATATAATATAAAAATGATTTAACATATTATATACAACTCTATAAAAGATCCTTTAAAGGGATAGTTCACCCAAAAATGAAAATTAGCCCATGATTTACTCAAGTCATCCTAGCTTTTACTTTTAGCTTTCTACTTTTATGGACTTCAAAACAGCCATTATAAAGCTTGGAAGAGCCAGGGCATTGTTTAATATAACTACAATTCTATTCATCTGTAAGAAGAGTGTCATATACACCTAGGATGATTTTAGTAGATCATGGGCTAATTTTCATTTTTGGGTGAACTATCCCTTTAAATGTACTAGTGCTTAAAAAAAAAGTGTGAGTGAAAAACACAGAGGAAAATGACTTCACACACTTACACGCAGCCACCTAAAGCATTTTTACTCATGGCTGCATGTTTAATCTGATGTTGAGAGCGCATCTCACGCCCGAGTGAGCGGAGAGAGAGGAACAGCAGGCTGAGTGTGTGAACTAGAGAAGATGAGATCTGCTGCACAACAGCCGACGAGAAGCATGACATGCACCGGCCGGCTTTCTAGTCATCAGAGCGAGAAACGAAAGCGCTGAGGTTTGACTCCGCAAAGTCAGAGACACAGCAAACTCCAGACACTGAAACCCTCACGAACAGAGACTCACTCAGACTCAGAGTCAGCACAACTTTACCCACGACTGAAACCGCTCACTTATTCCGGATGTATTCCACTCCAAAATTTTTATTTAATACAAAACTACACTTTATGTAAAGAAAAACGATTAAGAAAGAGCAACTTTTTTTCTAAATCCTCATTAGTGGTAAGAAAAAGAAAAAAAAGCTAAAATAAATACATTTGAATGCATATCATGGTCGTATTTCTTAGATAGTTTAATAATATGTATATATTATATTCATTTTAGAGTTAACTGTCGCATGGATATGTTCAACAGATTAATGCTAAATCACAAATAATACAAAACTATAGGCCTACTATATGTAAAGAAAAATATATTTTTATGATAACGGAGCACAATTTGCTCCAACGTCTCATTAGCGTTTTGTTTTGATTTTGTGTGAGGTGTCACCTGTACATGTTTGCAAGATTAACTGATTAATGTCACATTTGCTGGACTTATTTATTTATTGAACATTTCACAATACATATTTCAAATCAGCTTCACAGAAAACACATTTTAACGTTTCAATTTCTAACGAAGAGGGAATTTATTATCCCATTCGATCAGTGTTGGGTAAGTTACTCTAAAAAAACAAATCATTACTAGCTACTAATTACATAAACAGTGTAATTAATTAGATTACTGTACTAATTACTCTCTCTAAAAAGTATCGCATCACTTATTACTAATTACTTTTAATCCCATTTAAACAGCGACCAGTTGAACAAAACAAGGATAGACATGAAACTGCACTTTTAATTCTTTCAAATAAACAATATATAATTGAATAAATTTTTCTTGAAACGACCAAAGTGTGTAAAGGGAGAAGGTTACGTTAAAAACATACATTTAACATTAAGTTTTAGTGTTACGTCCACTATTGTTTTAAATAGAATTGTTCTATATTGTTATTGTATAGCTATATTATTATATATCTATATTGGTCTATGCAGTTCTATCAGAAGTAACTGTAATTTTATTACAGAAAAGTAGTCCTTTACTTTACTTTTTCAATGGAAAAGTAATTAAAATACAATATACACGTCTTTTAATGTACAAGACATGTACCACCAAACACGCACATAGTAAATATTGATATATTGAATAAAATGTTTATTAATGAATAAGACAGGACACGTGACCGATGAGTTCGGCATCTGGGAGTTGATCAAATCACATCAGACAGATCAATCAATCATTAACTCACAACGAAGCTACATTTAAACACCCTATATTTCAATAACTACACACATTTATTATATTATTATGAGAAATTATAGGTGTGTATTGACCTAGAAACGTATGATTGACAGCTCAACACTTCATTATCTTCGCTTTAGCGTCAAGTGGAGACACCACCTGCTTTAACGTATGTATATTTACAATATTAATTATTATTAAAACATAATTATCATTATTAATACCTGATGAAATTACCTGTGTGAGGAGCAAAACAAAATCACCTAAGCGCTAATATCCCTTTAACTGACACACGTACGAATAAATAAGCATTTTAAGGGCATATATGCGTAATTTCTGCAGGTTTTACAGTAAATACAGTAGTTTTGTAAGTTGAGTTTGTTATTGTGTGTTGCACTCGTAACGACCCGCTGCTAGCCTGAGCGCTAATCATAATAAACACCCGCTCCGGCGCCATTAAAGCCCCGCACATTCACTCATAAACACTGCCGTGTGTGTCTGCGACGGCGAGTACCTGTTATATGAAACAAAGCAGCTCCTGGCGATCATAATATCATCAGATCCCGTTCACATCCTCACAGATGTGAGGCTCATATCACACAACTCAGCGGTCCGCCGGTCACCGGCCCATGATGCACTGCGCGCGCAACGCAGACACTTCCGGTTTACAAGTCGTTTTGTCAACGCGAGTACACGAATCTCCGTCATACAATCATTCAATACTTCTGTTCTGTGAAAGGAGTTTATCCCCAAACTTTTGCCAGAAATGTGTGATTTTAGAGATAAAGCCTTTTCATGTTACGTTTATAGTTATTACAATTCCTAGCAAAACTTTACATTCTTTAAAGAAAAAGCTTATTTATCTGTTTTCAACAAAGATTGATATATTGATGAGATCTTAAATTGATAATTGAATTCTTTAAATAGCAAAATTGCTTATAAAAATCTTCAATGGTAGTTCATTTAAGAATTTCATGCATTGTGTATCCCTTGTATAATAATATTATTTTAGTATAATATCCTGTTTATTGTATTTTTGCTTGTAAATGTTGGGTTCTTTGGTGTAAAATACAAAAAAATAGTAATTTGTTCTTATTTCTTTTCATACATTTCTGTGTCCTTTCTTTCATTGTTTTTTTCTGTCATTCATTCATTATTATGTTTTATTTATTATGTCTTTGTTCATTTATTCAGCTTTCTTTCTCTATTATATCTTGTCTGGCCATCTTATAATTTTGGAAAGTGGAAAAGTGCTCGGGGTTTTATTGAAATATGAGCTATTACCTTTATTCTTCAAGAATGATACAAAAACATTTCTGAGAAAATGCAACAACAACACCAGATTTAATATATATACATTACAACATAATACAATAACCTCATTTCAAACTCGCTGTTGATGAAAATCATTGGCATTTTTTCAAGGTGATGACAGTTTTAAACAGCAAGCACAAATGAAAGGAAAGCAATTCAGAACATTTCAGAAAACAGGTTTACACACCCAGTGAAGTGTATTCATAACATTCAGATTCATAACCGGAACATTAAAGTCGTCACGAAACACAAGTTCGAGTCTATTTTTCCTAATGTTACCTATAAATCCGAGTGAAACGGCTTCTGGAAAAAGAACAGATGTGGGCGGGGTTTGATTTTGTCCGTGGGGAATTGACTGGATGGTTGTGGTTTGCTATTGGTGGATCTGATGTGATTGACAGGTTGCCCCGCCCTCATGGCAGTAAACACATCATCAGAGAAGAGAGAGGGGCAACATTAGTTGTTCACATTAGTTAATGCACTGTGAATTAGCATGAACAAACAATGAACAGCTGTATGTTTTATTAACTAACCTTAACAAAGATTAACCAAAACGGTAACAAATGTATTGTTCATGGTTAGTTCATGTTAGGTAATACATTTACCAATGTTAACTAATGAACCTTATTGTAAAGTGTTACCGATTTGATTTCATGCTGACTTTAATGTTAGTTTTAGCAGGACAACTCAAGCACAGTGACTTTTAACAGAAAACTACTGGATGTGCGTCCGGTCAGACCGCTGGCAGTGCAGAGAACAGATGGCTTGTGGGAAAATCTGAGTGTTTGGCACGTACGAGTCTTAAAAACACACACACACGCGCGCGCGCGCACTCAGTCCAGCGGCCCCTGAAAGATCAGTCTCGCGGCCTTGCCCTCGCGCGCGAGAGGCCTCATGCAGAACGGACATGCGGGGTAAAACCCGTGCGCCCCGTGCGGCAGCATCAGTTTGCTCCAGAAGGCCGCGGTCCGCTCTGAGCACACGTGTCCGCAGGGGTTTAAGGCGTGCGTCGGGGGCGCCCCGTCCAGGTAGAAGCCCGACTCGCGGCCCAGTTTGAGCGGCACGTACAAACCTCGCGTTCGGCACAGCGGACACTCTCTCTCGCCCGCCCTCAGCGGCTCCTGCTCCGCCTCCTCTTTCGCCTCAGACTCGTCGTCCTCCTCCTCGGTCGAGCCCTCGTTCGGGACCCGCCGGCGCCCCCTCCAGGCGTGGTACCCATGCACGTGTCCGCAGTGCAGGTAGGCCCAGGGCTGGTCGTCGCGGGCCGGGCCGATGAAGGAGCGATCGGAGCTGGGGAAGGCGAGTGTTCGCAGGCCCACGGGACACTGAGGCCGAGCCGCGTTCAGCTCCCGCCGGAGATCCTCCAGGTGTTTGAGGGTCGGCGTGCGGGACAGGCCTTCAGCCGAACGCCACAGGAGAGTCGCGCCGCACAGATCGATTAACGTGCCGTCCGACAACTCCTGAGACTCGTCTTCAACCTAGAGAGAGAGAGAGAGAGAACGAATTAGTCAAGTCACCTTCATTTATACAGCGCTTTTAAAGGTGCATTGCGCAACATTTCATGTTAAAAAATACCCGTTTTTCTAACCCATACATGCTTAAACAATTGCCTGATGGGCTGAATGAGCCCTTCTCTGATCACTGCGATTGCATAATCCTGTACAGTAAAATAAATTAGAGGGATTCGGGCCGGAACGTGAGACTGGGCGTGACGTCACGTGCGTTCACGCTCCCCTGGCTATGTCTGGCAGGTTTGTGTATTCGCCGCCATTCTCCGTATCAGCGAAGACAACTCGAGCGACAAAACTTCAGTCAACTTTCAACAAAAGTAGAAGATGGATTCAAAGAGTCCGGCTAGTAGTTCATACACCCCAACGCAAACTCTACGCAAGACAAAGACAGTAAGGCAGTTTCGCTTGTCGCCAGAGGGGGCATAGTTCTGCAAAAACTCAGAGAGGTGCGCAATGCACCTTTAACAATATAGACTGTTTCAAAGCAGCTTTACAGTGATAACAGGAAATTAAATTAACATAGACAGTTTTGGCTTTAAAGCAGCTCTAGAATAAAGTTATTGTCCGGTTAAAGTTAGTTTTGATCGATTCACTTCCATTGCAAAGATCATTAGTTATTAACTTAGGGGTGTAAAGATGCCCTCATGTCACGATTCGATACATATCACGATACTGAACTCACGATACGATATTATTGCGATTCTCCAAGACATTTGGGAAAAGGTTAACAAAAAAGCACTGTTGATTAAAATGCTAAATTTGGTGTTACATTGTGTGTAAATGAATAGGCTTGGACTAGCTTTGGTTTAGAGTTGAGTTTTGAATCTACTGACATTTTCTACGGTGTTTGTTGTTTGTTTGTTTGTGTATGCTGGTATTGTTAAGCACTTTGGTCAACTATGGTTGTTTTAAAATGTGCTCTATAAATAAACTTGAAACTTGGACTTGGTGCTGAAAACCCAAAGCACAGGACAATAGAGACACCAGAATAACAACATTCATGATTCTGAAGCTGAAAATACAGAATTATTTGAGACGAATATACTTGCACTGACTAGATATAATTAAAATAATGTCGGCCACTTTTAACTGGTAACATCAGACATTAGCATTATCAAGATTTAGGACCTACAAAAATTCCCCCTATTGCATTATTATACATTATATTTAACATTATATTGTAGTTTAATGTAGTACTGACACTAAAACTCTGTAAACTTGTTTTTTTTTTTCTCACACACTAATTTAAATTTAATTTTGGGTGAACTATTCACAATATCGTTGCATTTTTGTATTGCGATATATTGTTACTTACACCCCTAGAACGAATACATAGTTATTTGAACATATTAGTTTTCATATATTTCACATATTCAGGTGTTCATTATCCTTTGACATGGAAGGCATTTGGAACTGACACGTGGGAAAACAGCCACTTCTGTTAATAATCTAATCATATTAATCATCAAATTCTCAGATATCAAACGATTAATAAGCCTGTCTAATAGAATGGTTCCTTTCAGAGGAGTTCAGTGAAGGTCAGTCTGCACTGACTCTAGCCGGCCACTAGATAGCGCTCTTCTTTCCTCGTGAATCCCCGCGCTCTTCAGACATGATCACTCAGTGAGTCAGTAAACGCACAGCGAGTCCATACAGAGTCATAGTGGAACAGATCCAAACCACATCCACTGTTTAGAGAGCACACGATATCCAGAGAAACCTCCCAGCGTCACCTCGGGTCTTCTGTCTCACACATCTCCACATCTCAGACACACACACACACACACCTCCACATCCCAGACACACACACACACACCACCACCACATCCCAGACACACACACACACACACACACACACACACACACACCTCCACATCTCAGACACACACACACACACACACCTCCACATCTCAGACACACACACACACACACACCTCCACATCCTAGACACACACACACAAATCTCCACATCTCTGACACACACACACACATCTCCACATCCCAGACACA